ATTAGCTGGGCTAATTGGTGCACCCCGACACAGCTGCATCAGCGCACTGATGTGTTTTATAAATTATGTATGTGCCAGAATTAGCGTATTAAAGAATTCCTGAACAACTATGTGCAATTCAGTTGTTCAGCTGTTGCAGCTATTTGCATTACTCCTTGGTACTCTGCTGACCCTGCGGCAGAGCACTGAGCTCCCCAGGTCCGGCAAAGACATCCGGAGAATCCGAGTGCATGAAAATGAGAGAAAGCATCAGGTGTAAAGGGTACCTCTCTCAATAGTGCTATCTGTAAAAAGAGATGAAAACTCACTAACGTGGAGCATTTTGACTCAATGAAGTAATAACAACAATCCCGTCTTGCTTTTGTCCACGAACAGCAAAACAAATTAAAACTGCAAATGAAAGCATCCCCAGACCTTATCAAGCCACATCAAGCTTCTGATGGCCCCAGTGAGCAAGAGACCTCTAGGTCTAGGTTCACTAGGATGAACCTAGGTTCGCTAGGATGTGACAATGCAGGAAGGTACAAGACTTCAGAAGCAGACCAAACTGCATTTATCTTCTTTAAATATTTGAGGAAGAGTGCTTTTCTAGCTACCAAGTGACAAGGCTTGTGAACAGAGATTAGGACTGGGTTTCAATCACTTATTCTATTATGAAACTTAGGAGAAAAAAAACCCACTGCAATTTTTGGAGAAGAAAAGGTTCTGAAATAAGCTGTCCTTCCCAATTATTACTCCAGCTGAGACAGGCTGGATTTCAGAACATACTGCAATCAACAGGTATGCCCGTGGTTCGGACCCTGCGCTCCTCCCTTCTCAAGGCAGCTGTATCTTTCTGTACGTGCTTTGTCTGCGAGAGCGAGCTGCTCCTCAACAGCAAAGCGTCCTCTCCATTGAGCCGCTCACCTTGGAGAAGACTCGCCAGCTTTGGAAAGAGGATCACTTGAGAGCTGGAAAAACCCCAGCAGAACTTTGGTTGATAGATCTCTCATCCTTCTGCACCTTTGAAAGCGGTTAATGCCCCAGCCCAGAAGAGCCTCATGCTTGCCTGCTTCAGAGAAGAGTCAGCTTTGACTCTCTCACAAACAGGCTGGTTTCACATGAATGCTCTGAACAGAGAAAGCTGAAATAAGCAAATACATAGCTTGTGAGCTTGCAGGAATATCAAAAAGGATTTCTTTAAAGATCAATCTTTCTCTGTCCAAAGTGTTGCGAAGAGACCTAAGGTAGAGTTTTTCTTTCCCACTGGTAAGGTTTTCTGGAGATGAACTGTACGACCCGGCCTAGCAAATTTCCTGCCATAACACATCGCATGATAAGTAAATAGTGGCTAACCGACAAAGTAGTTCAATATTTACACAACCTTTTCGTTTTTAATTACATGGCACGGATTATTAGAAAAGGTGAAATCTCTTCAGATAAACTTGTAGGATTTTCCACTGAACAGCTTACTCTCCCCAGAAACGGGGAACGACAATCCCAGGCACACAGCAACACTCCGATCCGGCAGCCCGGGAAACCGCCGGCACATAGCACGGTTAGCAACCCAGCGTAGCGGGGAGAGCAGATCCAGGGGATCAACGAGAAAGCAAAGCGACCTGCCAAGAGCAGCTCTTTTCGTTGCTGGCTACCTGCAGCAGACATGCTGCTGCTTGCTCGCTTGGTTTTGGTCTTTTCCAGATAATGAAGCTGCCTAGTGCTGATAACATTTATTTATGTGAGAAGGTGAACCCACTGATTCGGAAGCTACAGTTCTTGTGCGCACTGAAATTTCCTGTGAACAAAAGGTTAAGATCGCAGCCTACCTTCCTCCTCCTGCTTGACAGAAACTAGAAATAAAAAGCATGCAGACAGCATGGGAGGCCGTCTTTGGGGAAACCACAGCAAACCTTTATGCCCAGAGCCTGTAGAGGAACATTAACACCACACCTGGGAGCTTTTATTCTGCTTTTGAAAACAAACAAAAGAACCAGAAAGTGAGACCACAAGGCATTTGAGAAAACACTGAGAAAAGATGACCATGTCAAAGGAGAGCGGAGATGCTCATTCACCAGCAATCTGGGCATTCTTCAGAGGAGGGCAGAAGAAGTGACAGCTGAGAAAAATTTTCCAATGTAAAGAACTTTTAAAAAATAAAATAATAACAAACAAGTTTTGACTCAGTGACCTCAAGATTTAGGCTAAAAATCAGCATTTACAGTAAGGTGTTTATACAACCAAGGAGAACACTCCTATATGGATCTTGATTGCAGTGATCTAAAATACAATCAGTACAGGGCCATTTTTTCTATAAGGTAACAATGTATCAGCGTGTTCTTATTGCCACTTTCACTCGTGTTTGAAAACATCCCTTTCCCTTTCAGCCGTATTACGTGCTTCTTAAATACTACATCATATGCTTATTCCAAGTTCTCACTTAGCAAAGCTGACCGAGCGTGGGCAAACAGCCTATGGCACACAGTAGCTGTAAAAGTTTTTCAGCTCCTGTTTTTCACTCTCCCTCCCATACCTTTCCCTGCTAGCATCCCTTCTGAAGCACTCCTTTACTTTCACCATGTTTTAACAGAGCGTCTTCCCTCTTTCCCAGCTACCAGGTAGCTGTGCATATGAAATAATTGTTCTGAGACCAGTGCTCTACAGCAGCGTACTGCTAGAGTTGTTTGAAAGCAAAAATCTCCTCTTCCTTAAAATAACGTAGCCCTTCCTCAGCACTGGGCTTGAAAGCCTGTGACAATCACTGGGGTCAACAGAAGCCTCTTTTTCTGTTGTCAGCACTGCAAGGCACAAACACATAGTTTTCGTGTCCTTTGTAGGTGGTTTCTTTTCCCTTCACACACTGACCCCTCTTACCTTGTGGCTGGGGAAGCAAGTGCAATTCCGCCCATTCCAGCATGCCGGAACTGAGAGGACTCACCAGATACTCCATTAAAAACAGAGCCTAGGCAAGGAAGGACTCCGTCCGCCTGAACAGTACGCCAGTTCGTGGCAGCCGGCAGCCAGAGCTACGCTCTTGCTCAAGTTCTGATTGCCAGACTTGGAGTGCCAGCAGCCTCACACACGGGGACGTTTCTCTGAAGCTCTCCCATACGCACACGACTCTGTTGAATCCATCTACCCATCTGCAGTTTTAAATATTTGCAGCACAGAGGTGGAAAACCAAGCCTGATCTCCAATGCCAACCAATTGTGAGCTTTGGGCTAAGAAAACTGCTAAAAAAGCAGTTTTCAGACTTTATCAAGTGTTGCTGTTAACATGCATCAGTTACACTATTCGTCCTTCTGCTATTTTCTCTTTGGCCTACTGCTTCCCAAAAGCAAGCACATGGGGGAAGGGGGGCCACAGTCAAGATACATCCCAACACTCAGAGCCATATTCTTAATAAATAATAATAATGATGATAATAATGAATCTCTATGTGTTAAGCTCACAGAAAGGTATGTTTCAATGCCTGACTTTTAAGAGCCCTTAGTTAGAGTGAGGCCTACAGCACAATACCTTCCTCTTGCCAAACAACCACATTTTAGTATAGTGATGACACTGTGTTATTCAGTTCTTTTCTTTAAAAAACCCCACAAAATTCAACGTCACCATGGGAACACTCTAAAGTTGATTTTGGAAAGAGACTCATTTTCTATAGCTTTTCTGTTGGCATAAAAATAATGTCACTGAACTGTATCAGAAGCAAGTGCTTTATGACGTATCATCTCTAAAGATACCATTCAGTTCTGAAAATATCCTCCCTAATGGTTGCATTTCTTTAGTTTCCGAAGCAGAATAAAGGGCCCTGAAAGGTTTCTTCCCTGTTTTTCTCAACAAGAAACACATCCCAAGCTACCATCAGCATGATCTAATTCAATCATTCTTCAGCCTGTAATGTGCAGTAAGTGTCAGTATGGAAAAATTCCTTCTTAGAAGAACAATTAAAACTTAAAGGAGTCATCCTGGTTGGCTGGCTGAACAAATGACACATGTTCACACAAGAATAATTCAGTCAACCGTCTTAATAAGGATTTACTTTAAACAGAACCTTGTATGGGTACACTAGACTCAGTCTCATTAAGGAGTAAGTTGGACTTTTATACAGCGTGAACCATTGGTAATCTAAAACAGACCCACTGAAGAATGGAATGGAGAATCAAACGCAACGTTTCAGACCCAAGCTCTATGTGCCTTTAATACTTTCTTTTTTCTTTTCTTTTTTTTTTTTTTTTTGGGAGAGGGCCGGCTACAGGGAGCATTTTCATTTTTATGCCTCTTGCCAAACAACCACATTTTAGTATAGTGATGACACTGTGTTATTCAGTTCTTTTCTTTAAAAAACCCCACAAAATTCAACGTCACCATGGGAACACTCTAAAGTTGATTTTGGAAAGAGACTCATTTTCTATAGCTTTTCTGTTGGCATAAAAATAATGTCACTGAACTGTATCAGAAGCAAGTGCTTTATGACGTATCATCTCTAAAGATACCATTCAGTTCTGAAAATATCCTCCCTAATGGTTGCATTTCTTTAGTTTCCGAAGCAGAATAAAGGGCCCTGAAAGGTTTCTTCCCTGTTTTTCTCAACAAGAAACACATCCCAAGCTACCATCAGCATGATCTAATTCAATCATTCTTCAGCCTGTAATGTGCAGTAAGTGTCAGTATGGAAAAATTCCTTCTTAGAAGAACAATTAAAACTTAAAGGAGTCATCCTGGTTGGCTGGCTGAACAAATGACACATGTTCACACAAGAATAATTCAGTCAACCGTCTTAATAAGGATTTACTTTAAACAGAACCTTGTATGGGTACACTAGACTCAGTCTCATTAAGGAGTAAGTTGGACTTTTATACAGCGTGAACCATTGGTAATCTAAAACAGACCCACTGAAGAATGGAATGGAGAATCAAACGCAACGTTTCAGACCCAAGCTCTATGTGCCTTTAATACTTTCTTTTTTCTTTTCTTTTTTTTTTTTTTTTTGAGAGAGTGCACGCTACGACAGACATTTGCATTTATCATGTTTTTAACTTCTTTTCTAAGGATGAACTCTCTGAATCTGCATCTTCCAACTCCGCTCTGTGTCTTTTCAGTCCTCCAAGAGATTGAGTACTCTCACTGCCCGCAGGATGCAAGTCAGCAGTATCCTCTCTCGTGCTCACATTGTAGCTGTTGGAGTCCATTTCAGACAGGCAGCAGTCTTTGTGCAAGGTCACACCCATCTGTCCAAGGTTGCCGTTATCAGCATTTGAGTGCACCTGTAGTCCTTGTGTCACAGCCTCCTGCTCTCCAAAACTCTGTCCATTGTTGAAGCACGAGGGACGAAGATGCAAGTGGCCGTTATTGTGGTTAACGCAGGAGATGTCGAGGCTCCTCTCCTCACTGTCATCAGTCTGGTTTCTGGAGCAGTGACCCGACATGCTACAGATGGCAACAGTGGAGAACGGAGGGACCAGTGAGTGATGGCTTGATGCTGGTTGACAGTTCTGACTATTTTTCTGTTCCACAAGTCCTGCAGTCTGAACGCATGGTTCTTCAGTACAACTATTTAGCCCTTTGCAGTTAGCTTTTCCATTGAGCTTTTTAGTCTCAAAAGAATGCTCTATACCTCCACTGCTAGTGTCTTCAGGTGTGTTTTCTTGACCCTCCATCCGCCGCTGATTGTCACGTTCATGAGCTTGACCATTACTAGAATTTTCTATCAAGCCACATTCTTTTAAAGTTTCTTTGTTGTAGCTTTCAGTAGGAAGAGCTGGGGAACCTTGAGGAACTACTGAACTCAAGTTCCTAGCATCTTCCTTATTTAGCGAGTGTGCTGTACTGTGCCTTCCACTAGTTCCTGGTTTCCCTTCATCATTCTCCCCATCTCCTCTGGAGGACTCACCATCTTTACTAGCTGAATATGATATGTAAGAATAATGAAGCCATTTGTAAGCTTTGTAAATCTTTCTCTCCACTGATTCACTGTCTGAACAAGGAGAGGTCCTTTCTTTGAGAACTTCTTTGTTGGCTGAACTCCTTTCTGGTGAAGAAGCTGGAGAAGACGACAGATCATCTACTTTGATCTGGGGGTAATCATAGATATCCTCACCTATGTAGGGGGTCACATTCTCCGTGTTCGTACTAGTCCTTTCGTCCTTTTGCACCTTCTGTCGGCGCCTCAGTGCATTGCGTTGCCTCATAGATGTGCGTCGTTCATTCAGTTCTTCTTCATCTTCTGTACTGCTGCTGCTGCTGGAACTGCTGGATTCGTTCTCCTCAGGACTCGGGGACCGTGGCCTTGGGAAAAGGTCTGTATCTAGTTCTGCCTCACAGGTGTTGTCATCAGAATCAGACTCATTGGAAAGGGCCAAGAGACGTTTATCCTGATACTTTCTCAGTGCAGAGAGCCTCTGCTGACGGGAAGCCACGTCTTCTCTGGCTGAGGGGGATTCAGTTGATCTTAAGGCCCTTAAGTTATAGGCAGTTTCATCAGACTCTTCAGCCACATGTGGTGGGGAGTGATGCAAAGAGGCGGAGGACTCCGACTCACTGTAAGCGGAGCGTTCACTTACTCCCGCATGGAGCTGCAGGATCGTGCTCTCGCTGAGGTCGCTGTCCGAGTCAGAACTCCAGCCCTCGATCTCCCGGCGCACCAGGGAGTCAAAGAACGCCATCATCCGTGGATCCTCCTGGACTGACTGGTTGGCATAATCATGGGACAAACCACTACCACTGTTCAACACAAGACTGATGTACTCTTCATGAGTGTAGAGGCAACGCGAATCATCCTCAATTCTACCATCCAGATCCCCTGTGCAGTCAGGCTGTTTGTAAGGACTCCAGATCTGTAACAGAAAACAAACAAAAAAATACATATATCTTTGGATTCATAAACTGTTACAAGCATTTGAAATAGAACAGTAGCGCAAATACCCAGAACAATTGCAAGTTGCAGATTGTTTTCACCCCTCAGACCCATATTCACAAGTATTCCAGAGATGTGGGTTTTTTTCCTCTCCCTTTAAAAATGTGTTTTTCCTGCATCTACTTCACCCATCCAGAACTTAAAAGCTCTCACACTGCAGATTATCCATCATTTCAATATTTCAGTGTGTAATAATTTCTCCCAAATTGCAGGGCTCTATTTTTATGTTATAGGGGATGCTTACTCACTAACGGTAAGAATAGTTTGTTGCCTACAATACAGTCTTAGCACTAATGAAGGCACTTGTTTCCCAGGAAACTAGAGTTGCTTGTGCCAGTGATGTAGAGTGACATTTCATCCAGCTGCACAGTCAGTCACACCTGATCAGCAGGCAAGGAGGTGAAAAGCAGGCCTGCACTACTCCCTTTGGGGAACAGTTGTGAAGGAAAGAAAGCATCCAACACCCTCTCAAGACACAGCAGCAATTTTAGTTAGCGGGGAAAGGTGAAGGAGAAGAGTTTTACTGAAAGCTACTTTTGAAGTGGAGAGCGGTAGTTAACATGGCAAAGCGTAATGATTTAACCAACAGCAACAGCCTTGACTGTGCTGTCCATCTAGCCTTCCCTCAGTTTTCCTGGGAGGTGGGGGGAAGGTCTGAAGAAGATCCACCAATATCCCTAAGAAACTGGTAATCCATAGCAAACATAATAGTTGGATCTCCACACCTTTCTCAGTTTTACTCACAGGTTCGGGGGCAATATGACTAAGGCACTCATTGGACAGCCACTATCACTTTATTCTAGATCGATGGTTAACGTGATGCACAACACTTACTGTAAGCAGAGCTAGTATGCAGCCTATCCACAACACTGCCTTAATGTTCTGCTTATAAAATACCTGATTTCAGTCATGCTTTGGTTTTACCACGCTAACAAGCTCAGGGGAAAAAATTCTATGCCAGCTGTCTATACCAGGTTGGCCTTTTGGGATAGACTTTGGCAAAAACATCTGACTCTTTTCCCAATAGAAATTAGTCGAGTTTTGTTCCAAGCAGATAAAACCGCTAACAAAAAGAGTGTTTTGCCTGTGTAAATGGGATAATCGGCACTCATCCCACAGATGCATAGTAACACATGCAACATGATCTGATACTACCATGACAAGCGCTATTAAAAAGCCCACGAGAATGCCAGTAATTCTGTATTCACAGAGATTTTCAACAGTGTACAGTAAGACCTTACACCTTTAATACTGGAAGTAAAAGAAAATAAATTATTATTGGAAGTAAAACAAAATAAATTAATTACTATTACTTGTTCCGCACAGCCGAATTTAAGATGTACAGGTAACCTTTACTCTGGAATTCTCCCAAACTTGAATGCCTTTACTTTGCATCCTCTGGAATTCATGGTTAACAGAGCTTCCACATATGATCTGGCTATGTAGATAAAAGAGACACTATTCCAAAATTAAAGTGGGCTGCAGATATACCTTTTTCTGTATGGCAATCATCCAGCTGCCTTTCAGAGCAAAGGCAAAGGAATTTTACATTGCATTACATTAGCCTGTCCCTAGGAACATGTCTCAATATCAAGGTGTATTCGCTATTTGTACCTAGTTGCTGTTTTTATTATTTGCAGTACTTAAGCAAATTCTCCTCCAGTACAGTTCATTAATATAATACTTGAAACAAGAATGAAGACAGTCTCCATTGCTTGGTTCAAGCACTGCACTTACTAGATATATAGCTCAAGGGACAAGCATCAGGTTTGGATAAAGATAGCAAAACCCAACCTAAGCCCACTATGTATAGACTTCAATCAACCATTCTTAACCTTTCGAATTATTGAAGAGAACAGAAAGAATCTCTCTTCATCCTCTAATTATTTCCCATGCTCCACTTCCTAAAGACAAGGTAGGAAAGAGTCTTCTCTCAGTGGATGCGTGAGAGAGATTGTTGATTTGGGGATACACCAAGTTTTTGAATAGAAAAATAAAACGCTACTTGCTCAAAGGACTGTTCTGAGTTGCTGCCTTCTTAATGATTTAACTAGCACATGCTCAGTACGTTCTCTCACAATTCATCAGATCTTTTCCCCTCTGTTCCACTACTGAGCATTTCAGCAAGTAGATCAGATCTTTTTGTATTTAAGAAGCATATACCTTCTTGTAAATGCTTCATACTGTATCACTGGACAAAGCAGGCTGCCATGTCCCTTCCTCAGAGAGTCTCAGCAGTGTTAAATTGATCACTAGGTTTTATAAAACTTTTTTTTAAGCAAGAGAATTAGAAAACTCTTAGATCCCGTATGAACCAATATAAATGAAGGAGAGGTAGTCTGCTCTGAAGTCCCTCTGGGAAAGGTCTGTTTTATAATGAAAAATCATCTAAAAAGGTACAAGTGTGCACAGAGAGATTCCACATCCTTGTTAGTGCTACCAGATCTTTCTGCTCACTCTGCAACCATCAGAGAAAATATAGCAGTGTTAAATATTGAAAAGATAGCTACAAAGAGTCCAAAGTGAGGCTTTTCCCTTCTGAGACAGATTTGTTCACAGAGAAGGAGTAAATAATAAAGAGAAGCCAAGGAAATTCAGGATGAATACCTGTTTGTGCAGGATCAGGTGTCTCTGGAGATTGATATCCCTACATTTTAGACATTTTGCCATGAGGGAGTGCCTGCCAGAGTCCCAGAAAGAAATCAGACTAAGAATCTAACCTTGGCAGAACCAGGAAGTCTTTAAACTGGCAGCAACTGGTCCAGTGCTCTCTGTGGAATCTGAAATGGGCTGCTTTGTAAATGGAATGCCTTTGCCTTTTTCTCATCCTCTGACTGATGCCATGTCGAGGAAGAATGTGAGCAAATTGGAGAAAATAAGTTGGCAAATCATCCCACTGAAGCAACAATCTATCAAGAAGTTCTTTCTCTGTCAGAGGATTAAGGAGCTGAATATTACTCACTGGTGCCCCGAGTACAGATATAAAAATAGGAACAATAACAGAAAAGGGGAGTACAAAACCGGTTCTCTACTTCAGCAGAGATGCTTCAGAGAGCATCTTTGAATTGCTTGTATTCCATGGTGGCAAACCCCCATATTTTAAAACAAAAAAGTAGTTATGCCCATAGCGTGAGAATAATTAAAACCAGCTACATTAGATTATCTGATTAGGCAGAGGCAGCTAGCCACAATGACATTAATCTGTCACCATAGCAACATGGGCAAATAGACTTTGCTATCTTTGATATACTGATGATTTTTAAACAAACGGGCCCTACAACAGTTGTGCTCAGAACTACAGTTACAGAGTATTCCATTTCCAATACAAAACGGTATTTCTTTCTGAAAATCCTTACACAGTTTATCTATTTTGCCTTTTCTGGAACTGTCTTCTAACTGCATAATTCTCCGTGGCCCTCCTCGAAGCCCCACACATCAGAGGGAATGTCTCATTTATTTCTCCTGCAATGCAACTCGTTTTCCTGCCAGCACATCCCAGTGTCTCACACACTTAACTGGGGAGAAACTGGTATTTTTCTGTTTTCTATTGCTTTAGCCCTTGTGGCGAATGCTTTCTGCAAATGATAGTTTTGGTTCACAGCTGTGCTTTTCCATACAATTTTACCGAGGTTCAGATTTCTGAAATGGAGGGCAACGAGCAATTCATCTGGGTTGACGTGTCCAGCACACACTGTCTGGAGCCAAAACTTCTAGTATCCTTTATTAATGAGATTGTTGAGTCTTATTTTAGGTTTCTGAAACCTCCTCACTTGAATATTCACACACCACACCCCCCCCCATCTTACCCACTGCATTCTCAGTTCTAGCAGAAATCAAACCCTGAGTAACCACTGAGTTACTGAATTATATTCTTGCAGGTGCTTTACAACAAAATAAAACTAAAGCAAAAAAACCCATAACCACAAAGGTCAAAATCATTCTTGTGAAGACTATTCATTTCAGCAGGGCTAGGCCTGACAGGAATTTGTATCTTATTTGCAATCAGCATTAAAATAGCAAGTGTGTTGGCAGAAGCACGTGGAATTACTGAATGGCTTGTCTGTATCACGCCTTGATGCTGGTGCTATCAGTTCCTCACTTCCAGAACTACTAAATTTAGGCCAGCTAGTCTAAAAATTAAGGGCTCAGACAAACAACTACTTGCATCCACGTTTTTAATTCATCACAGAGTTTCTGCAATTGAGGGAATGGAATACCAGCCAACCACAGTGAAGTTATCTTCTGTGACTTAATTCCAGAAAGATTTTTAGAAGACACTTGAATGACAGTAAAAGGAAGGATGCCTCTTAAGGAACTGATTAAAACCAAACAAAACCCAACAAAACAAGAAAACAAAAAACCTAACTACAATTTTTATTTATGGTTCTTCCTCTTGTCATCTCAACTTCTCTGAGCTAGCACATCAAGCATTTATATGGGGGAAAAGATAGCCATGCAAGGGAAGGACTTGTGTTCCCAGCTCTTTTTCATGCAGTAAATAGCCCCTCAGAACTGCTGGTATTGCTTTTCCTATCTTGTCCTTCTGCTAGTGGCAGCTACTAGCCTCCAGTCTATCTGCAGAAGTAGCTGGAACGAAGAAGAAACCACCATTGTACGGTCACCCGCAAACCACTGTTCACTAAGACAGTACCTTTAAAGAGTGAAGTCATGCAGATCAGACAAGATATGAGCCTTAAAACAACCTGATCCCCAAACAAGGCACATTACAATCTGAGATAAAATGACATACAACAAAAGGGTAAGAAGTTCTGCCTCGCTAATAAACTTAATACATTAAACACCTTTCCCTTAATTTGTTTCTAGTTTGCAATGTTTGGGGAATTCAGTTCCTTCAAAGCAGCTACACAAGTTTCATGGCACATACTGCGACACAACAGGCGTTCTCTTCTAAGGAAGCATTCAAGCAGAGGTGTCTTTGAAAGAATTACACAACCTGTGTCTGGGGCCTTAATCAAACTAACCTTTTAATCACTAGGCAAAACCCCCCCCCGCCAAAACCCTACCAGAAGTACACAAAAGCAACACAGGGGTTGTTTATACCCATGCTAATCCAACAGTCTAAGCACACTCATGCAGGAAGGATTCACAGGGTGAAGGGTCAGCAGATCTAAAATCCAAAAGGGAGAATTCAGGCTGCATGAATCAAGTTCCCAAAGCAAAAAAAATGCCTCTGGCAAAACTGTTGTTAAACAGTAGCAGTTTGACTGCTTGGAAATTGAAAAATTGGTGAGAAGCTAAGGCCGTTCAATGCACTTTTGTTCAAAGCCTGTATTTGACAGATTTGTGATCAAACCCGTCAGAGGGACACAGATGAAGAAAAAAGCAGAAAAGCAAACTAAAGTAGCAGTGGAAGATAGAAGAGAAGGAAAGCTGAACTACAATCAGAACCCAAATGCTGATAGCAGCTGTAATGCAAATGATGCAGCTGGGCATTCGGCCACAGTCCCAAGGATTTGGGCCAGTTCTGGTCTGTAAGTTGCAGACCACTAAAACATTCCTTTGCAGGACAAGTTCATTCAGTTAACTTGTAGCTGACTAAAGCATTTACTAATACTCAAACGACCTCATAGCCACATGCAGGTAAGACTTTTACGAAGCCATTCAACAAATAGTTAGAAGCAGCATCAGTTCTCATTATCCTACTTAAAAATTAAATTGTTCTGGTTTCTTTCATCTTGTTGATAGACCTAAATTATATATAATTTATATATATATAAATTATGGCAAAATTTCTACGGCAGCAGAATGCAAAGTGCATTAGTGTAGCATAACCTCCGCCTCCCCACCCTCAACCTCTGCTATTAGAAAGGACAAAAAAGTTTCTGCCTTGGTCCCACAATATTGGCTGTCTTGCCTTAAAGAAAGAAAGTTTCAGAACCTAACAAAGTTTGTTTAGAATCTCTTTACATTCCACATAAAAAGGCACAAAATACTGTACATTGTTAGAGGATTCACAAAAGACATATTGTGGAAGGTATTAAGAGTCCTGTTTCCTCTGGAAGCCACAGAAAGGTATGTTGAACTGATTCAATGCAGAAGCGCGTACAAAAATTACAGAAGGGCTCCTGAGGCAGTATTTGGGCCAAATTCAGCTAGGTCACGCTAGGCTAAGGCTCAACGATACTCTTTGGAGAGATTTTTATTAAATTTTAGCCCAAAGTATCAGAAGTCTTAGGAGATCACATGTTACAGCTGTGACCAAACTCTCCTGAGAAAGACTGTTTGCATGATACTTCAGTTATGTATGGAATGATACTGGAAAAACATTCCTTTTTCAAGGTACAAATCCAGGAAATTCTGATCTTATCCCTTACTTCTAAAACCTTTAAAACTGAACTGGAGTTGAAAGTTGATATGCCCAATTAAAAATTTGCATCAGTTTAGCCAGCAAATGAGACATACCACTTGGAAAAGAACAATGTTGAGCAAACAAAGCATTTCTTCCTGAAATACTGAAAAAACACATTTCCTGATAATTAATCTTACCTTTATAATCTTTTCAACGCCAGAAGAACAGATCATGTAAGTGTGAGGATTAAACCGGACTTGGTTTACAATTGACCGATGACCTTTCAATACCATAAAAGCACCATTGACGACCCTGCCAATGCCACCTAGGGGAAAAACAAGCACATGCTGAAATGAATATTTAAATCTTCATATTGCTTTCGTTCACAATCATTTAAAGTTGTATTATATTTGACAATGTGCTTCAGCTTTATTTTGCAATATTTTAAGGCCTGTGTTCGCTGCAGAATTCCAATTTTATGAGGAGTGCCCCTATGAAAAACTTGCATCAAACTATGCAAGTTTGATGAAAAGCATCCTTCCTGCAAATTAGGACTTGGAAGCTAGCTTTAGTTCGACTATCTAAACAAACAATGAAGGTTTTTGACCTAATATGACAAGTATGTGAATAAGAACAACATACATACTTAATGAAATCACCAGTGAAACCACAGTGCCTAAGGCATGACACTACCCACAGTTTGTAAATTTGAAGCAGAGACTAATAAAGAGGTTGACTTTTTTAATAGCTATACGCTGACTCTAGTTTGATGGGTAGGAAACTAAAGGAGGCAATCTTCAAGGCTACTAACCTGAGTTACTACATTACAGCTGGACTTAGTATAGCCTTCCCTAGGCCGGGATCTGTAACAACTCGTATTTCTGTGAATCAAGCTTAAAGGGGGACCTGAAATAACACATCTGACCAGTGGGTTATATCATCCTTTGTCACAAGGCAGGGAATTAGCTGAAGTGGAATGCTTTTGTGCTAATGGTAAAATTCAAAACAGGTGCCAAACAACTTTTCTGCTTGGTCATCGACGCTTACTAGGTCTATACGCCAAAGCAAGAAACTGTCACACAGTAATTTTTTATATTTATAGATTAACACAATTAAAACCATAAATTTGTTAGAAAGCACACCTGTGTATCTGAATAAACAAGTGTCAATCAACATGCTAAGATTAACATCTTCAGTGAAACAAACCGAAACTTTTAAAAGAGGGGAAGTAAAACCTGACCACCACTTCAGAGGAAAGCAATCTTGCTATTTACAACTTCAAAGGTCATAAGCACACCTTACAGAAAGTTCAAATAATTTCATTAGCTTCTGTGCTACTTATAGTTGTCTTAACAATAAACAAGTAAACTTTATGTTCTTCTTGCTGAAGATGTTTGCTATCCTCCTTTGTCCTCATCAGGAGCTCTTTCAGCTGAAGTAGCTGCTGGTTTAAGCCCTAAGCCCAATGTTGAACAACTTGTCTTCTAAAACAGAGTCAGAGTTCTCCTGAAATACACATTTCCTAAAGAAAAACTTGCATTAACACTGAAGAGTAGCAAGATAGAAGGGTCCAAAAAAAAAAGAAGAAGAAGAAAAAAAGGCATTCCTGTACCACCTTCCATTTGTTAGGTTACATAAATGATAAAGAACTGCAGCTAGTGAGCTAGTTCAGCCCATCTCCTCTTAGTACTCTATCCCTTCCACTCATTGTAACTACACTCTGAAGATCAGACTGATGTGTACATGTTGTACAAACCAGGATAAGGATTCAGAGATGAGGAGTCATCCAACCCTAAAAATCTGCAGACAGATCTTTTTACTGCTTCTGCAAAGTGTTCTGTTTGCACAAATCAATTTTTGCAGACCAAACTGCAGTCTCATGGCACTTTGGGATAGAAAGATAACATACCTGAAGAAGGGAAAAGAGATGACAAGTAACCACAAGGACCAAAAGGCATGGCCATTTTAAAGACTTTGTATATAAAATAGAGGCTCATTTAAAATTAAAATAAAAAAACCAACAACTTGAAAGAGACACTATCACTCCAGTTAACTTCCACATATATTCACTGAAACTGCACTGAGACTGAGCTACCTGGAACAGGTCCTTTATTTGGGAACACTTATATTTTCTGTACAGCTTCGGAGAGAAGTTCTGCCTTCAGCCACTGCAGCAAGATTTCACCAGCATAAGCAAAGTTGACTGAGAAGCAATTGATTGGAGCACAAGTTCATTAAATGCCAAATTGGGCTCTTTTGATTTTCTTTTCTATTTTATGAGATTCCTCACGTCCTTTCATTCTGCTCACCCTGCTAGACATTCATGACCACATTTATGGCTGATGGCAAGTTGCCCTACTCCCACAGCATTCCTTCCAGCCAAATCACAGCTGTCAATCCAATTGCATCTATCAAGCCAACAGTAGATGGTTACATCAAGTCCAGTTCTCAACGCATTTATCTTGACCTAGCAGACAAATGTTCCAGGAAAGAGGGCCTTGGGAATGAAGAGACAATTTGCTTAGGAAATGTTTCCAAGTCTGTAAGTAATGCCTATTACAAGTTTTAACTATCCATGGACTCTAAGCTGCCTGGATTTAGTACAAAACAAGAAATATGCCCTACGAACCACTTACAAAAGAGTCAGAAGTTAGATAAGACAATGAGGAAAGAAAGAATTATAATGGAGATGAAATACAAATTTAGGGCACCAGTATCTTGGGCTGCATTTCCAAGTCAGTCATTGGCTTCTTGTGGGACTGTCAACAGTGTGAATTAACCCATGATTATTTTCCTAGTAAAAGAGTGATAACAGTTATTTAATGCCAGAACTGTCTTCTGGCATTAAACTTAAAATGTGTATCAATACGCTAAGAGTGCTGGCTGACAAGCACACAGCATGCCATGTCTAGAACACAGCTCTCCCTAGCCTGTAGTCAAATTCAGACAGTGTCTGAAGCCCAGAAAGCCAACCGTATCCTGGGCTGCATAAAAAGCAGCATGGCCAGCAGGTTGAGGGAGATGATTCTCCCTCTCTGCTCTGCTCTCAGGAGGCCCCACCAGGAGTACTGGGTCCACCTCTGGGGTCTCCAGCACAAGAAGGACGTGGACCTGTTGGAGCGGTTCCAGAGGAGGGCCACAAAAATGATCAGAGGGATGGAGCACCTCTGCTATGAGGAAAGGCTGAGAGAGCTGGGGCTGTTCAGCCTGGAGAAGAGAAGGCTCCTGGGAGACCTTATTGCAGCCTTTCAGTACTTAAAGGGGGCTTATAAGAAAGACAGAGAGAGAATTTTTACCAAGGCCTGTAGTGACAGGAGAAGGGACAACAGTTTTAAGCTGAAAGAACATAGATTTAGACTGGATATAAGGAAGACATTTTTTCCTTGGCGGGGGGGTGGAACTAGATGATCTTTAAAGGTCCTTTCCAACCCAAACCACTTCTATGATTCTATGAAGGAACTCCAAAGCTTTCTGCTTTAATATTGAAGTTCCTTGAAATCCTTTTAAGCTATTAATAGTAAAATCAGAGGAAGCAGAGTACTAGAACATACTTCACTTCTCTTAGAGTGAAGGTGAACTTCCCTACAAAGCCCCTTAAAACAACTAACTGCCCAATTACAGGAGAAGTCTTCTAGGAGCAGATTACCACAATCACAAAGCTTAGCAGTCAGCTTTTTCCCGTAGTATGAGAGGTTTTAATCATTTAACCCAAAAAGTATTGACTCCAGCAATACTCTGATAATCTTTGTGTCAAATATAATAGACTGCCCCAGAACATCATTTTTGGACAACCCCTTGCCTGGTGCAATTCTAGTCTACCACCTCCTATGCACTTAAGCGATGTCTGTAATTAAGTGCTTAATGCAGAGCCGCCTTCTCCATCCTTATCCTGACAGTGGTTCCTTCACTTTATAGTAGCCCAGCAAAGTTGGTATTGTGTTACATGAGTATCCATGTGGCAGACATTTGCTCGTGTCCAGACTTGTCTGGAATCCCCCTGGTCTCTCAGCAGAGGCTTAGCTGCAGCCATACAGCTTCTAGCCATCTCACAGTGTGAGTTACGTTTGCTCACGTCTGCTGGCAAAAAAAAAAGTGCATCTGTACATTAAGTGGAGGTTGGCCATAAACTGCTCAAATTCCTGAGGCCACCTTCCTTTTTTGCATGTAATAATTTCTATTTCTTTTTGCTGTCTTCACTTGAACTGGTATTTTTATTTGTATTGTTTCACCAGAATTGACCTCTGCTAACCCAACAAAATCAAATTTTGCTTTTGAGGTCTGGGGTTTTTTTTAGGGGATGGGGGTGTTGTTAGCTTGCTTTTGAATTTAGTGGCACGCACAGGTCCTGCAACTGGTTTAGCATGGCAGCTTTTATATTCTTAGACAGTTACCACGTGCATAAGCAGTGTTTATACAGAAGCCATTATCTTACATATATGTTATTAATAATAATAATAAAAAAAAAGGTCTTAAAATCTTCGGAGGTTGATTATGCCAATTTTAGAAGGTTTCTAACTTTCTAACCTCTAAGGACTAGAGGGAGGGGATGGAGATATACTAGCTGGTTTTGCAATACTTCCCCAAAATTGCTATGCTTAAAGACAGTTCTGAGTAGTGGTTTAGTGTTCTGGCTCTGCTGGTTGATGTTTTTTTGGTCTGCTTTTATTTGATACACAAAGCAAAATGTCAAGAAAATCCCTTTTCCTCTACACCCTGCAAATAAGTGCAATGCAAAGTCTTAAAAAATTCTTTAAATAATATCCTACTATGATATCTGACCAGCTGGAAGAAATAACTTATAAAAGGCTAAATCTGAAGTGTACATTTTAAAACAGATTTCCTCTACACACGTTTGACAAGAATACCATGGCAACATAGGCTCTGATACAGACAGAAGGAATAATACAATGCTTTGAAGTAGTAGATGTCTACTAAGTTGCCAAAGTGATTACTTCTCGGTTTGCTTTATTATCATATGTTTTAAATATTATGCTAATGAAATCCTTGTTAATTATGCAGTTTCATAAATATTTATGCAAATGAGTTGACATTTCACATATTGAGAACATGCTGGATGGTACACACCAACACATTTTAAAAACCGCTAGTAAATCATAATGAAGGAGAGTGAGGTATTTGGACAGCAATCTGACTTCCCATGCACAAATTTCACAATGCGTAGCAGAGTTTAAAAAAACCCAAACCAAACCAACAGAAGAATGAATTATTTGCAGGATAAGGAAAAAAGGGAAGTGATAGATTATCAGGAAAAGTGCCCTAGCACAGAAATCCTGTAAGAATGTAGAACAGTCTCTAAACTAATGG